TTTACTGTTAGGCTAAATTTCTGTTTTTAAGGCATGCCTGTCAGGCTGCATTCAGGCTCAGCGTTTGTGCGCACATTGATTTGGGAGCTCGTCTATTGCTGCATAAACCTGGGTGCTTTGCTTAGCATCTCAGTTCTCTCACTCACGAAGTGGAAGTGACTGTTCCCTCTGCTGATCATACCAGGAAGTGAACTGGGAACCAGCATCTCACTGCTGAGGTCCAGAATCGGTTTCACTGTAGGAGGCAGACTGCAGGTGATCAGGGACAGCCCCTTTGCCTTTCAGACATCACTAGCAGACTTTTTTTTTTTTTGAGACAGGGTCTCTACATAGTTCCGCCTGTCAGAGACTCACTATGTAGACCTACTCCTCTGCCTCCCAAGTGCTGGGCTACCAGGCGTGCACCACCACCCCTGGCTAGAGTGCTTTCTTTGAGCTTGATAGTTGCATAAGAAAAGTACCCCCAACTAAGAAGTCCTCATCTCATCTAAGTATATGACATAGGTCCCAAGGCAGGCGACCTACCTATAGAGGTTACCTGCAGTGAGAGCAGGTAAGAACTCACTTCAGTGCCCAATTGTAGCAGAGCCAGAAGAATTGGCTCATTCAGCATGCACTTGCCCAGTGCCAGCTCCGTGGAATCAGGAGTGATGCCTGTGGTCAGCATTTTCTCTCCACATAGGACGTGGACTGGTGACAGATACATACTGGCAAACAGGTCACAGTAATAAAGAGAATTGTGGAAGGTGAACAGTAGCTAACCTGGAGCTGGGGGGAAGGGTCAGAGAAGACATTGCCAAAGAAGTAGCCTTGCAGGAGGCTTAGACCACGTCCCTGTAGGAGCCAGGCTTGAGGCAGAGGGCAGGGAGGTTAGAAACGGGAGACCGGGCAGGAGAGGGATGGCTGTAACTTTACACTTTCTACAGAGGGTAAGCATCTGCGTGCAGGAAAGAGGAGGACGCCGAGAACTGGGTCATCGTGGAGGACGCCCAGAAGATCAGGGTCCATTCGTGGAAGCCGCCTAAAAACGCTAAGGGGTTTGGCTTCATCCTGGGGGTTTTGGGCAGGGAGCAGTAACAGTGGATTTGTGGCTTTGTAAAATTGTCTTGGCTGCAGTGTATATAGCAGGTTTGAGTGGGTGAGCCAGAAGCTGAGGCTCAGGGAAGAGGGTGATGCCAGAAGGGCTGATGATGATGGAAGGAAAGCTGAAAGGCTGACTCCGTGCAGGCCGAGTATGTGGCCGAGGGAAATGCCCAAAAGATGGATGCCCAGTTTTTTATGTAATTTAGCTTTCTTATTTGTGTGTGTGCACATGTGTGTACATGCCATAGCACATGTGTTTTGGTCGGAAGATGAGCTTTTCAGGAGTCGGTGCCCTCCTTTCACTACGGCTCTGGAAAGCCCTGTTCCCACTGCGCCATCCCGCTGTCGAGATGCAGAGTCTGACTGGAGCCTGGGCTAATCGCTTCAGTGCTTTGGCTGAGGTTTCTCCAAAGCGGGGATCAGAGAAGGAGGCAGCAGGCTTGGTGTGGAAGAGGCAGGTCAGCCTCTTTGTCTGTTGCAAACCCGCGCATGGCAGATCGGGAGGAAAAGGACCAGTCCCTAGTGTGGAAGCATGAAAGGAAAGCTGAGCCGGCCTTGGAATCATGGGCCCAAGATGCAAAGGCGTTTGAGAACCATCTTTAAACTACAGGCTTGGCAAAAAGCAGCCGTCATTTTGCTTTTCAAAACCATTTGAACCCACTCAGCGTGCGTCAGTGCAGGTGGCGGCCTGGTTGTTTGAAGCACACCTTCATCCATTTCCCTGACATCCTTTCAAGTCCTCCGTCTTTGTAAGAGAGGGTCCGCACCAGGATTTCAGTTCTGATGTTTGAGGCACGCTGGTCTAACGTGCTGTGTTTGGGAATTAACCTTTTATTCTTTAGTTAGTTTGAAATCAAATAAACCAAATTAAATCTTGGATTTTAAAGCGTGTTTCTCTAAAGGATGTAAGCTAGAACCCAGCTATCAAGGAATGTAACAAAGAGTTTGGCAGCATAGAACGCAGGGAAGCACTCTGGTTTTATTTCTGTTGCTGTGGAAAAAAAAAAAAATCCTGCAACAAGCAATGTGGCTAAGAGAAAGAGTTTATTTTAGTTTGAACTTCTCAGTCCATCACAGGCAAGCAAGTCACCAAGGCACAGGATATCCACAGCACAAACACGGTCAAGAGCAGAGAGAAACAAGCGCACCCACGCTGCCTTCCTGCTTACAAGCCAGCCTTCTTCACTGTGAGACAGTCCAGGCCTGTCACAGCTACTGTTCTGTTGCTGTGGTGAAAAACCATGTCCAAGGCAACTTATAAAAGAAAACATTTAATTGGGGGTGTCTTAGTTAGGGGTTTATTGCTGTGAAGAGACACCATGACCACAGCAACTCTTAAAGAGGAAACATTTGATTGGGGCTGGCTTACAGTTTCAGAGGTTTATTCCATTAGCGTCGTGGTGGGAAGCATGGCAGCGTGCAGGCAGACATGGTGCTGGAGGAGCATCCTCACTGGAAAGCAGCAGCAGGAGACTGTTTGTCACACTGAGGCTATCTTGAGTATAGGAAACCTCCAAGGCCAATCCCACAGTGACACACTTCCTCCAGCAAGGCCACACCTACTTTAACAAGGCCACACCTCCTAATAGTGCCTCTCCCTATGAACCAAGCATTCAAACCTGAGTCTGTGGGGGCCGTATTTATTCAAACCACCACAGCGGACTTGCTTACATTTTTCAGAGGGTTAGTCACAAACAGCACGTGGCAGCAGGCCAGCATGGCATTGGAACAGTAGCTGAAACTTTACATCCTGGTCCTCAGACAGCAGGCACAAAAGAGAGAGAGCTTCTGAGCATGGCATGGGCTTTTGAAACCGCCAAGCCTACCTCTGGTAGCTTACCTCCTCAAATAAGGCCACACCTCCTTATCCTTCCCAGACAGTGTCATCAAGTGGGGACCAAGCTTGTAAGCACAGGAGACTATAGGGGGATTCTCATTCAGATCACCATGAGGACCTACCCCAGGGAATGTTGTTCTGCGGCCTCCCACATTAGCCAGCAACCGCGACAGGCCTCCATAGACATTCCCACAGGCCATTCTGTTCCAGCTGATTCTTCATTTGGACTCTTCCCAGCTTATTCCAAGTTGGGTCGAGTTGGCAGTTAAAACTAGCCGGCACTGGTGAAGCCTGAGCACCATCCAGTCTCTGCCAACTGTACTTAGATGCGCTTTGCAAAAATGTTGCTGATTTGAAGAGAATGATTTGAATCCCAGCCCAATGGTTTTATTTCCAAGTGGAAACTCAAGCCTCCATTCCCTTGGGGTCAGGGGACTGGCCTTGCCAAACTGATCATTTAAGTCTTGGTAAGGATGGATCCTGGCAGCCCTGATCCTGTCTTGTGTCCTCTCTATGGCTTTGCCATTTCTTGGAGAGTCACTTCCTTTGTCACCATCCACACTGCTGCTCTTCCGCCTCTCCAGATCACTTAAGTGAGAACGAGTGGCAGGAAAAAGCTCTCTGTCCCGTTTCTGGGGAATCAGGTGAACCCCCCGCCCCACCTCCACCCTGCTGGCCGTGGGTGCACAGATGCTGTTGGGGTGGATGTCAGCCTGCTTGGTACCAGTCAGCATCTCTTGCTTTAAGCTCTTTGGTGATCACATCTGTCTCATTTGTCATTTTTGGCACTGGGACACTCTTCATTTATAGTTGTTTGTAACAGAGTTGCATTTGGTAAACTAAGGTTTTATATTCGCTCTATGAAGTCATAAAATACAGCTGAAATGCTAATATTTAATTTAGAAGGCCACCTGAGGGATGGGAAGCCTTGGTTTAATCCTTGTAGCTCTCCGCTTGTGTGAATTTGCCATGGCCTCAGGATTATGTTAAACGCTCCCTCATTGGAGGTACGTGCAGTTAGGATGGTGAAGAAATTCGCCAAAAGCTTTGGAGCTGACCAAGGCTGAGTTGTCCCCAGCCTGACCTCTGCTCAGCACCCGTCCTTGTCTGTTGGGGGCACACCTCTTCTCTGGGACTGGCTCCCTGTAGTCTCTGAGTCTCTTTCTTTCCTGAAGGTTGTTGGTTGCAGGGAGCATGAAGAGCAAGGGGGAAGGAGTGTCCAGGAGGGAAGGATATGTCAAAGTGGAACAGTGAGTTTCATGTCTGTTGTTTCCGCCACGGAGGCCACCCTGCCCTGAGAGTTCTTTGGTGGTCTGAGCTCTCACGGCCGACAGCATAAACATGACACTTGCATGTGTGCACTGCTAAGAGCCATCTGAGATATCACATTACTTACATCTGACAGCTAAAATAACACTTTTGACCTCTGTTCATCTGTTAGAAAAATATAGTATTCATTTGACCTGCTTTGCTGGGAGGTAATAAAAATGATGGATGTTACAATCCGTATTGCTGCGTCCAGCAAAGAGCCTCCTTTTTTGCTGCTGGGATGTTAGTCAGATAAAATCAGACTGAACAGCCGATTAGAACCTACAGAAAGAACCCTGTTCTCCCAGTTGAGAAGCACACAGCAAATATTTGGCTCTGTGAGTAAGCATGTGACTTAGAAGTAATCTGAGCTGTTCTTACGACTTTTGTTTAAGGCAATCCTTTATTTTGGAATTTTACCAAAGATAATAAAGCTTACCTAGCAAAAAACTATGTCAGTGCTTGGGCATTTAATGTAGGTCAGTAGTAGTGTCTTTGTCTTAGATGATGCAACTAAGTTTTGGGGCAGCAAGCAATGAGAGAGTACACTGAAAGCACGCACTGTTTAAAAGAATACTTGGCCCCAGAAATGTAGCACACACCTAAAACCGAGCACTTGGTGCAAGTTGAGGCAGGAGGATCAGAGTTTGGGGACCACAGTATGTGAGGCGCCACAGTGTGTTCCAGGCCAGCCCGGGGCGGCACCAAGCCCCCATTTCAAAATAAACATATATATTAACACTGTGCAAACACTTCTTCCTTTTAATTTTAGGAAACAGATATTGATGACAGGTATGGAGATCTCGATGCCAGAGGAGATTCGGATGTTCCTGAGGCCCCACCGTCCTCAGACAGGACCCCTGAGATCCTCAAGAAAGCCCTGTCTGGACTGTCTTCAAGGTACGACGGTGAGGCTGCCCTGCCCAAGCACTGGCTTTGGGGTCGTGCTGGTCAGGCTGTGCCGTATGTTTGGCTTTTTGTGAGTTTGGGACCCACAGGAGGACAAGGCTGCCAGCAGGGGCAATCTGAAGGGCTTCCTTAGTGCCTTTATTTAACTGACCGTGTGCAGTGTGAGGAAACCAGTTCTGGTAGGTCAGCTGGGAAGACTACAGAGACAACCCTAGATTTGCTGGTATTGGAGCGCCTCCTAATGAGAATCACACACTGTGTGTTCTCCAAATGCCAGAAGAAAGGAATTTTTATCCTTTTCTTTGTTGTTGTTGTGTGTTAGTGTGTGTGTGGGGGGGGGTATATACAGACACGTGTGTGTATGGTGTGTGTATGTATTCTTGTGGAACACTTGTGTGTGCATGGGCCAGAGCTTGAGTGAGGTGTCTTCCTTGACTAGCTCTCCTTTGATAGGGCCTCACAGAACCTGTAGCTTGTTGATTTGGCTGGAAGGCTCCTGCACACCCCCGGCGCCCCCGCTCTGAGTGTGCCGATGCACTCAGTTTAAACATGGGCACTGCGGATCCGAATTCCGTCACTCACACTGGCTCTGCAGGGCCCTTGCTGCCCGAGCCTCCAGAGTTTCTTTCTTTAACTGAGCCTAAAACTACTGTCTAAAACTCAACAACACTTCACCATTCTGTATTTGCGCTATTTTAAAGTGTCTGTGACCATGGGCTTTCAGCTAACTGTGTCTCACCCTGTACTGTGTGCTTTGGTAATTGCAATCACGGAGTTTGTGAAATGCTAAGTTTCATCCAGATTTTACTTTATGAAATGTTACATATCGACAGTGCTTCACCAGCGTCTTCTTACTACACCACACAGGAAGAGACGTGTCTTCTGCCGCGTCCTCAGAGGCACAGGTGCAAAAATGCTCAGAAGGTTTTTGTGCTGTGACTTTATGTGGTCTCTTTCTGCTTGATGTGGTTCGTGGGTACCGAACAAGAAATGATGGGTAACTCCTGGTGAGTCACAGACCACCGTGCCAACACCTCTGGTCTAGTCATGCAGTAAACGGAACCTGAGTTTTCCTTGTTTGTGCTGGGGAACACCTGTTCTGAAGATAGAAAGGGAGACTCAAGCTCAAAGCTCAACCCAGTCTCTCCTACCTTACTCTCACAACACAGACCCTCCTGTGATGCCTGAGTTTGTGTGTGTGTATGTGTATGTGTGGTGGTTCTCACCAGAGAGCAGTCTGCATCAACACTGTCTGCCTGGAGTCAGCAAGTGGGCTGAGGCACAGGGCTGTCCCCACTTCAGGCATGAGTCACAAGTCCAGGCCTTCAGAACGCCAGACTGACCAGATATCGATTGGATTAACACTGACTCTCCTGGGTTCTCACTGACTCTCCTGCATCCCCACTGACCCTCCTGGGTTCTCACTGGCCCTCTCCTGTCCCCACTGGCCCTCTCCTGTCCCCACTGACCCTCTTCCGTCCCCACTGACCATCTCCTGTGTCCCCACTGGCCCTCTCCTGTCCCCACTGGCCCTCTCCTGTCCCCACTGACCCTCTTCCATCCCCACTGACCCTCTTCTGTTCCCACTGACCCTCTCCTATCCCCACTGGCCCTCTCCTGTCCCCATTGACTCTCCCCTGGGTTCAGCCCAGAGACCTCGAATGCTCATATTGATGGTTTATTATAAACAATGTCAAAATGGACTTTTGACAAAACCATCAAAGAGACAGAGAATGATGTCTGCCTGTCTCAAGTGTGGGAGTTTGTCCATGTGGAGTTGGAGTCACTTCCTCCTGGGATGTGGGTGATTCTTGTTCACTTTCTGGACTACTGTTTTCCACCAGCAAAATTCTCTGTGCCTCATTCTTTGGGGCTTCCGGGGACTTCATGTCAGAGAACTGTGAGTGAATGAAAAATGATGACCTAATGGGGGAATGCTGAGCTAGGAAACCAAGCATGGCCTGTCAAGGATCTTGCCCTGTGGACAGCGCTCCTTCCTCGTACAAGGTGGTGCTTTCCTCAAATGGGGTCTTCTGGTCCTTCCCAGATTAGAGTATATTTTTAGTTTCTGTGACCTACCAAAGAAAGATTCTAGTTTCTGTGGCCTGTGTTAGAGAGACGAAAGGGAACAGAGGGCAAGCAGAGGCCAATGAGGAAAGTTTGCTTTGAAGTCTGTCTCTGAGGCCTCACCTGGCCAGCATTAATCTAGTCTCTGAGAAAATAAAGACTATGGAAGGTGAGTCGGAACTGTGGTTGAACATGGAAAAATCTGTCACAGTATCATAACCGTATTAGAATAAATTGTTTTAGAGTGGTTTTCCTTCTTTTTTTGTTTTGTTTTTTGCTGATGGAACAAAGGTATACTATCTTATTGAAAGCATGATTGTGATTTTAATAGACCTTGCTCCCAGTTGTTTCTGTGACCTAGTTCACAATTTTAAAAACCTCATTATATCTGTTCAGACCGTGTGTGTGAGTGAGAGATATGCATACATGTATGTGTTATATAAATGCATATATATGTGTGTGCACGCTAGTCTGGTGTTCTGTAATGATGCTGAATTCCCATGTGTCAGTCAGATTCTTCCTCAGTAATGACTTTTTAATATAAGACAACAGCAAGTAACAGCAGCTATTTACTGAGCATACGACATGTGCTAAACATCGCCACGCCCTTAACACAACTAATATATTCTCAGCAGCCCTGCAGTGTGGTTAAGCTTTGAACTGTTGTGAACGAGGAGCCTGAGGTGTGGGCAAATGATGTGAGCCCAGCACTGTGACGGGCGTGGCGATCGGAGGCCTCACTCCCACCTGCCCTGTGTAATGAGGGAATAGTTCTCAGAGCCAGAGAGGTAGGTTCTGTAGCAGCAGGTACGCAGACTGGGTCAGGAAAAGCAGAGCAGTGGATGGCGTAACGGTGTGGTCTCGGGGCAGCGCTCTGTGAGGACATGAGCGTTCTGAACATTGTGCTCTGCAGTCGCCTTTAATGTAGAAACCGAAAAGAGGCAGTGCTGTGGAGGCTTGAACATTCCTCACTGTAAGACGCTTCTCTGAGTCACGGGAGGTCGTGGCCCTCCCAGAACGTAGATTTGCAGCGGTGGCGTGTGTGCTTGGACCCTCTCCCCCACACACTGTGTGTGTGTGTGAGTGTGTGTGTGTGAGTGATGCAGAGGTGGGACCCTGCTCCTTCTACCTGGCTATTTTCACTTCATTCCGCAGTTGTAGAAGCAGTCTCTCCTACCCTCAAATACCCGCAGGTGCATTTTTAAATGAGGGACCCTCTTGTATGGATACAGTACTATTTCTTTTGCCCATGGGGCCATTTAATGTGCTTCTGAATTTTCACAATGAAAAACATCTCTATATTAAACACTTTTCTTTGTAACTAGCTTTTTCCCAGAAACCCATGATTTTGTTAAAATGGATCCATAATTTTATTTTAGAGTACAACTGGTTGGCCATGGTTCATGCTCATTTCCAAGCCCTTAGTCATCCCTCAAAAACATGCTCTGTTGAAACTGGGAAAGGCCTGAAAGGTTTTCAGTCACTGCGCTTGCCCCAGCCATTTCCTCATGCAGGTGTGCTCTGAGGGGTGTGGTCATCAGCCAGGCAGTTGTGTGCTCTGGTGTGTTTGTTAACCAGGCAGGTGAGTGTGCTCTGAGGGCTGTGGTCATCAGCCAGGTAGGGTTAGCTATATCTGTTGGCGAGTCTCTGCTGGGCAGTGTGTAGCGGTGTGTGGTGTCTGTACAATAGCTGCTGCTGGCAGCCGGCGGGCAGAGAATGGGCCTGGACATCACTGTAGGGAGGCTCCCACAGCAGAGCGAGTTGGTCCACATGCTGCTCATCAACAGAAACCCTGGACTGTTGCAGGCGAGGCCTACTGTGCACTTGAACTTCTTATTGCCAACTCCTCCGAGAACCCACACACCTCCTGTCCACCTCTGCTCCAGGCTGGTAGAAGGACTTTCTCCAAACTCCTGCTCTCCCTCAGGTGACAGGTCCAGCCTGCCCTGCAGGCCCCCTCTGGGACATTGCCATTGGCTTAAATAAACTTCGTGGCTACGAAAGCTGTTGATGAATCAATGATGCTCGTGCATCAGAAAATAATTAAACCTTGCCATCAGTTTGAAACAAAACTGACTTACTGGCTGATCAGCATGGACCACTTAAAATGATTGCTTGTCTTGTTTTTTTTCGTGGCTGTCCTAGAGCTTGAGGCCGGATATCAGGTATGCCATCCATGATCACTACGAGATCAGTGGAGATCATCCACTCCATTTTAGCACAGTGAGCCCCACCCTCCATCGTGCTCTGTTAGGTTTTTGTTTATAGGATGATGTGGTACCAAGTGTTCCCCAAAGTTCCCATGTGAAAACTCAGTCCCTAGTGCAACAGGGCCCAGAGGTGTGGCCTAACAGAACCCTGTGAGTAGATTAGGGCCACTGACATGGGAGGGGGTAACTATCACACAAACTGACATGGGAGTGGGGTAGCTATCACACAGGAGTCTTGTTGTGAAGGTGACTGTTTTTGGCGGCTTGCCCTTTGGCCCTCTACTGTAGTATGAGAGAGCAGTATCACCAGACATCACACCTTGATCCTGGGCGTGCCAGCCTTTAGGACTGTCAGAAGTAAGTCTCCATTCTTCATAAATTATCCATTTCAGGTGTTCTGCTACAGCAGCAGAAAGTAGATCAAAGACACAATGCCACTGGATACATACAATTCGGAAAAATACAGGCTTATCTTCTGATTTTGTTTTTTGGAAGATCTGGAGATTAATTTTGTGTCTTACTGGGCAAAGAATTAGCCGAGAAATGAAACATGGCCGAATAGAGACTTCTGGGTAAGACTGAAAGCTCCCACTGTTTCTGACAGAAGGAGGAGAGAGAGAGAGAGAGAGAGAGAGAGAGAGAGAGAGAGAAAGAGAAGGAGAGAGAGAGAGAGAGAGAGAGAAGGAAAATGTGTTGTGTTTTACAGAGGAGGAG